CCCAACCCCCATGGAATCCCCAGCACCACTTCCTGCAGCATTCCTATCCACAAGCAGAGCCAATCCGGCCCCACTCAGCTTGCATGGCCTGGTGTGATCGAAGCCCAGCAGGCACCGGGGTGTTTGCAGATCTCAGCTTTTCCCTGGACACAACAGGGAAGGGAGAAAAACGGAGGCACAGGAGCAGGTTTGCTCTACTCAGTTTACCCCATGGAATCCCCAGCACCACTTCCTGCAGCATTCCTATCCACAAGCAGAGCCAATCCGGCCCCACTCAGCTTGCATGGCCTGGTGTGATCGAAGCCCAGCAGGCACCGGGGTGTTTGCAGATCTCAGCTTTTCCCTGGACACAACAGGGAAGGGAGAAAAACGGAGGCACAGGAGCAGGTTTGCTCTACTCAGTTTAAGTGTTCGAAATCCTGTGTCATTCCCCACGCTGTCCCACAGACACGCCCTGCCCTGGAGAGGCCCTTGCCAGGCAGGAGAGGGGGAGTTCATGAACTGTGGCCCATTCAGACTTTGGCTTCTCCGCTGAGAGTGCCCATGGTGGGGCCAACTAGTGCTAAAATGTGGTGGCAGTTTTTAGGCTGTGGCCCTTTGGGGACTTGAGCAGGTCCTAGAGACCTGTAGTAGAATACCCTGAGAGACAGCTACAGAACGCTTCACATTCCTACAGCCTGGAGGCCTCGGGCTGTTCTATTCATCCTCATGCAGTCTCAGACGAGTGGACCCCAGTCCTGTAAGGGACTGTCCGCTGCAGCCCCACCACTCACTAAGCACCCCCTCCATAGTTCCATGGCCTGGGACAGTTTTTGGAAGTAGGCCTGTCTATGCATGAGCAGCAGCACAAGTCCAAACTTGCTACAAAGTGGGGAAGGAGGAAGAGGGGCCATGGCAAAGGCCCAGTTTGAAGTAGGATTGTAATAGTCTAGCCGATTAACAGAGTAACCAATAAGCAAAAGCTTTAGGTTAATGTTATAGACCACATGCATCCCCCTGCCCCCCCACATTGCCAGTAAATTTTTTGGCAGGCTGGCCAGAAGCCTGGCTCAGTTCGGGTCCAGAACCTACCCCTGCTGTGGGTCTGCATTTAAAGTGTGTTAGGAGCCAGGTGGGCAGGCTCTCACTGGGTCCAGGAGCTCAGACCCACCTTAGATAGGGGCTGCTGCCACCCCACGCTGCTGCCTCTCTCTCAGAGGGTATGTCTACACTGCATTCCTCTTTTGAGAGAGGAATGAAAATGCAGATGAACGAAATTGCAAATGAAGCGCGGATTTGAATTTCCCGCGCTTCATTTGCATAATCATGTCTGGGCGCTATTTCGAAATACCCTATTTCGAAAAAAGAAACGCTATCTAGACACGGTTATTCCCAAAAAAATCCTTTCAAAATAACCCTTAAAACTCATTTTATAAGGAGTAGATTTTTTTGGGAATAACCGTGTCTAGATAGCGTTTCTTTTTTCGAAATAGGGTATTTCAAAAGAGCGGCCTGCTTCGATTATGCAAATGAAGCATGGGAAATGCAAATCTGCACTTCATTTGCAATTTCATTTGTCTGCATTTGCATTCCTCTCTCGAAAGAGGAATGCAGTGTAGACATACCTAGAGATAGCAGCACTGGGCGACAGGCAGCTGGCCCACAAGGGGAGTGTTTCTTTAAACTGGCTCCCCTCATGGATCAGCTCCTGCCTGGCACCCTGCACTGCTGCCTCTGATACAGCGGCTGCCAGCCCTGCCCCTGGGGACTATAGAATAGTCGACTAACCAATAAACATTCATGAGGTTACTCAATTATCCAATTAACCCTAGATATTTAACATCCCTAGTTTAAAGTGTGAGACTACAGTGTGAGTAAGACCCAGCACTGGTTCCAGGCAGCCTCCGCCACCCCTCTTCTCTCTCAGCTTGGAGCAGGTGTTTGGTAGCAATGACTGGCTCAGCCCAGCAGACAACCACAGGAGGGCCAAGGTTGGATCGAGCTCTCAGGAGTGCTTCCACCCAGGACTGATGGCAGCAGCTCTGTGCAGAGCAAGTTACAGCTGCACACAGCCGTCTTGGAGCCATTTCTTTATTCTTTCATTGCAATGCCATGCTGACCGCTCCATTCTCCCCATAACCTGTGCCCTCCCTCCCCCCATGCTGCTCCGGTTCTGTGTCTCCGTTCCTTGCTCCTGCTGTCCCAGCACTGTGGCCTAATCTCGCTCTGTGCAGTGAGCAGCACACACCGGCATTAAGGCTAGGGAAATGCTGCCCCCCTTATTAGAAATTCCCAGGCCTCGGTAGAGGGGCGCACGCAGGACTCAGCAATGAGCTCATTCATCACTGGGCGTGGGAAGCTGCCAGTGCAGCCAGAGCCAGAGCAAACAGCAACACGGTCTCATTTCTGCCTTCACCTCCTTTCATTTACAATAATGAGAATGAAGGGAAAATAGACCATTCCCAGCAGCCTCCACATACTGCTGCAGACACTGTGGGGGCTGATGAGGTGGGGGGAGATCTGTAGAGAATGGGTCACAGTGCATGGGAAGAGTGAAGCCACCCACACAATCAATAGGTTGTGTGCACACTTATACACCCTCCAGCATTCACAAGCACACGGACACATACGCAGCCACGAATATCTGCAAGCACATGAATGCACTGTGATGCTGGCAGATCAGATGCCAGCTTACGCCAAGGTCCTCCCCCTTCACCACTGAATACTGAAAAATACATTGCTGGATGCCGTCT